TAAGACATACCTTCTTAACAGAGCAAAGAATATGTATGTACATGCACATCTACTGAATTTGACTTTAATAGAAGTGTTCTTTTTTTTTTTTTTTTTTGTACTAGGGATTTAATCCAGGGGCACTCAATCACTGAGCTACATTCCCAGCCCTTTTTCTTTATTTTGGATAGGGTCTCACTAATTTGGCCAGAGCCTCACTAAGTTGCTGAGGCTGGCCTCTAACTTGCAATCCTCCTGCTTCAACCTACTGAGTTGCTGGGATTACAGATGTATGCCACTGCACCCATCTTTGATAAAAATATGCTTGAGTGTTCTTAACTTGCTGACAAGTTTTGTCATTTTTTTTAAATTTTTTAGGTGTAGAGGGACATAATATCTTTATTTTATTTATTTATTTTTATGTGGTGCTGATTGAACCCAGTGTCTCACATGTGCTAGGAAAGTGCTCTACCACTGAGCCACAACCTCAGCCCCAAATTTTGTCATCTTAATGTCAAACTATGTTGTGCTTCCAGACTTAGGAGGAAACTAACTGAATGAAACTGACTTGTGGAGCACAGAGGACAGGGAAAACTGCCTTATAGGCATGGGGTTTCACTTTGGAATGATGGAAGTGCTTTGGAGGTGGAGGCTGCACAAAATTGTGACTGGACTAAAAGCCACTGGATTGTTCACCTTAAAATGGTTGATTTTAAGTGATTCCACCTCAATAACATAATAGGCATCAGAAGCAACCATCAGGGAAGTTAGAAACTTAATGCCTTGACTTTGCAACTTTTTTGTAAATCTAAGAACTATTTCAAAGTAAAATGATTATCTTTTAAAAAGCTGAATTAGAAGTTTAGAAAAATGAAAAGTTGAGAGAACAAAGAGAAAAGGAGAAGAAATGTTAAACAAAGAAAGAAAAACTGAAAAATTAGAGAAAAGCAGAAAATAATCCAATTCTATTTTACAGGAGCAGAAACTGAAGCTGGGGTTATGGGTTCCCAGTTAGGTAGCGTCTGAGTGAGGACAAAAGCCCACAGCAGGGTCACTGAGTCACTCTTTGAATGAAGATGCTCATAGTGAACAAGGTACCACATGCTTAGGCTAGGAGAAGGAATGGGTCTGGTGGTCAGGGATGCTGGCCACGGAACCATGGCGGGGGACAAAGCCACTGAGGCCAGCAGGAGGCACGAGGCCTCCACTCATACTACCTTGTACATCTGGGATGCCAGATTCGCTTTTCTTCTTCTCTTGTTTCTCAATTTTTGATTTAAGGTGTTCAATCTCCCTGCGTAGGTCAGAGATGACATCCGTGTACTGTGCGATGCGGTAGGAGACATTCAATAGGTTGTGCTTGACCTAGTGGAAAGGACATGTGGCCTAGGTCAAAACTGCGTGGGAGATGATGTATAAACATGCTTAATCTCACTCCAATAAGAATGGCAGCCATTATGAAGTCAAACAACAATAAATGCTGGCGAGGATGTGGGGAAAAAGGTACACTCACACACTGCTGGTGGGACTGCAAATTGGTACAGCCAATTTGGAAAGCAGTATGGAGATTCCTTGGACAGCTGGGAATGGAACCACCATTTGACCCAGCTATTCCCCTACTTGGACTATACCCAAAAGACCTAAGAAGAGCATACTACAGGGACACAGCCACATCAATGTTTATAGCAGCACAATTCACAATAGCTAGAATGTGGAACCAACCTGGATGCCCTCCAATAGATGAATGGTTTTTAAAAAATGTGGTATTTATACACAATGGAATATTACTCAGCACTAAAAAATAATAAAATCATGGCATTTGCAGGCAAATGGATGGCATTAGAGCAGATTATGCTAAGCGAAGTTAGCCAATTCCTAAAAAACAAATGCCGAATGTCTTCTCTGATATAAGGGGGGTGACTCAAAATGGGATAGGGAGGAAGAGCATGAGAAGAAGACTACCACTAAATAGGGAAGAGAGGTGGGAGGGAAAAAGAGGGAGAAGGGGAGTTGCACAGAAGATGGGAGGAGAACCTCATTGTTATACAGAATACATATATGATGTTGTAATGAGTAAAAGGAAAAAAAAAGTGTGTCACATTAGAGTGGATAAGAGAAAGGATGGGAGAGGAGGGGAGGAGTGGGGAAGATAGGAAGGGCAGCAGAATAGAATAGACAATATGATTGATGTATGTACATTCCATGTATGTATTATATATCAAAATGCATTCTACTGTCATGTATGACTAAAAATAAATAAATAAATAAAAATTTTAAAAAAAAACATGCTTAAGTTGTAATCTTTAAAGTAATATTCTCAGCCTTGAAAAGGAAGGAAATTCTGATCCGTGCTACCATATGGATGAGCCTTGAGGACGTTATGCTCAGCGAAATAAGCCAGTCACAAAAGGACAAATACTATATGATTCCACTTCTCTGAGGTCCCTAGAGCAGTCAAATCCACAGACAGAGAGCAGAATAGCGGGAGCCCAGCTGGGGACGAGTGTCTAGTGGGCAGGGTTCCTGTTTCTGTGATGAAGTTCTTAGCTGCTTGTCTCTTGGGCTCAGCTTTCATGTCACCCCAAAAGATCTCACCTGAAAGCCCTCTTTGTTGAAGTTCCATTAATTCAGTATTCTCTGTTACTTTTGCCATAGCAGCATGTGGGGAGCCACTCTGAATAATTCGTGCCTTCCATCCTGGAGCAGAGAAGCTTTGACTGGTCACTACATCTCGTAGTGACCTGGACATTCCCCTGGTCCAGGAAGGTTGAAGACCCGTCTTCAGATGTAGGTGTGTCGCCCCATGGATTGAGCTACACTCACCTATTCCTGTGTAATACTACCCCTTTGCCCTGTTTAGGACAGACTGTTTCATGGAAACACCCTTTGTGTGTCCCCTTCTCTTGCTCTGCCTTTGGTTGTGGCCTTCCTGAGTGATAGTCAACCTGCTGACAGCAGACATCTCAAAGCTAGACTCAACCCCCTGAAACTTGACCACTTGCTTCATTTACATGGCTTCTCTTCAATAAAAGGGTTCAGCATGAGCTTGCTGTCTCTCTTTTTGTGGACCCTTAAGATCAAAGGAACCGTCACAAGACCCCAAAGAAAAAGGTATCTCTGTCTCCTGTGTGGTTATTTCATGCAGCTCAGTTCACCCGGAGTGACCCTGAGTTTTTGTCACGTTCCACGTGACATGTGCTTCAGTTGTCCAGTCTGTAAAATGGAGATAAAATAGGACACACCTCCTAGGGTTTCTGTGAGAATAGAATAAATTAAACTACAGGGAGAGTTTACAGCCATGCCTGGCACATAGACAGAGGTGCCCATGGCCTAACCCAGAACATGTGAGTATGAACTTATTTGGGAAAATGGTCTTTTAGATATAATTGACCTCAAAATGAGAACATCCTCAATCAGGGTGGATCCTAAATCCAATGCCAATTGTTCTTTTAAAAGAACCAGGTGTGGTAGTTCGTACCTATAATCCCAGCTACTCAGAGGCTGAGGCAGAACAATTGAAGTTTGAGGCCAGCCTGGGCAACTTAACGAGACTCTGTCTCAAAATGAAATAAAAAGGGCTTGAGGTGTAGCTCCATGGTAGAGCACTTTCCTGGCATGTGTAAGACTCTAGTTTTGATCCTCAGTACCACCAAGAAGAGAAAGAGAGGGAAGAGAGAAACAAAGAAAAGAGGGGAGGCCCCGTGAAAATGGAGAGAGATGGGGAGAGGCAATCATAAGCCACAGGACTCCCAGAGCCTCTTGAAGCTGAAGGGGGAGGAGGATCCTCCCGTAGAGCCTTCAGAGGGGCTCAGAAGGAACTGTCCACACCTTCATCTCTGACCTGTGAGAGACGAAGTCACCTAGTTTGTAGTAACTCATTGCTGCAGCCACAGGAAGCATGCAGATGTGGGTAGGTAAAGTCTCTACAAGGGCTGGCTGTTATTTCATCTCTCCACTGCAGAGACAATGGAAGTCGGCACAGAGGTCACTAGCCAGGGACAGCAGTGCAGAAAGAGACCCAAGCCATCTAGCTGCAGGGTCTGTGCATGACAGCCACCCCCAGCAGTGAGCATAAGTGTAAAATGTGGGAATGAATGAGCAAGTGAATGAATGAGTGAGTTAGCAAATGAGTGAGAAAATGGGTGGGTGAGCAAGTAATGAGTGAATGAGTAAATGAACAAGAGAGTGAATGAATCAGTGAGTAAATGGACGAGTGAGTTCAAGAGTAAATGAATGGGCCCGCCCCCGCTGGGGTCGTGGCGGCGGGAGGAGGGGCCGCGGCGGCCCGGCGTGCGTGGCAGGCTCTCCCGGCTCGGCTCGCGCGGCCTCCCTTCCCGGGAGGCGGGGTCGGCGCCGTGGCGGCGGAGGCAGGCCCCCTCCTCCTTCCTCCTCGGCCGGCCTCCTTCCTCGGCCGCCCGCTCTCTCGGCCGCTCCGACGCCAGCAGCGCCCGCGTGCCGCCCGCCCGGCCCCGGGGGAGCCCGAGCAAGTTTCCGGGCCGCGCGCCCCTCGCCCGCCTCGCCTCCCGCGGCCCCCGCCGCCGCCGCGCCGCCATGCCCTCGGCCAAACAAAGGGGCTCCAAGGGCGGCCACGGCGCCGCGAGCCCCTCGGAGAAGGGCGCCCACCCGTCGGGCGGCGCGGATGACGTGGCGAAGAAGCCGCCGCCGGCGCCGCAGCAGCAGCCGCCGCCGCCCGCGCCGCACCCGCAGCAGCACCCGCCGCAGCACCCGCCGCAGCACCCGCAGAACCAGGCGCACGGCAAGGGCGGCCACCGCGGCGGCGGCAAGTCCTCGGCCGCCGCTGCCGCCGCTGCCTCGTCCTCGGCGACCTGCTCGCGCAGGCTCGGCCGGGCGCTCAACTTTCTCTTCTACCTCGCCCTGGTGGCGGCGGCCGCCTTCTCGGGCTGGTGTGTCCACCACGTCCTGGAGGAGGTCCAGCAGGTCCGGCGCAGCCACCAGGACTTCTCCCAGCAGCGGGAGGAGCTGGGCCAGGGCTTGCAGAACGTCGAGCAGAAGGTACAGTCTCTGCAAACCACATTTGGGGCTTTCGAGTCTATCCTGAGAAGCTCCCAACATAAGCAAGACCTCACAGAGAAAGCAGTGAAACAGGGGGAGAGTGAGATCAGCAGGATCGGTGAAGTTCTGCAAAAACTCCAGAACGAGATCCTCAAAGACCTCTCTGACGGCATTCACGTGGTGAAGGATGCGCGCGAGCGGGACTTCACGTCCCTGGAGAACACAGTGGAGGAAAGGCTGACGGAGCTCACCAAGTCCATCAATGACAACATCGCCATCTTCACTGAGGTCCAGAAGAGGAGCCAGAAGGAAATAATGACGTGAAGGCGAAGGTCGCCTCTCTGGAAGAATCCGAGGGGTACAAGCAGGACCTGGGAGCCCTGAAGGATGCGGTGAAAGAGATACAGACCTCTGCGGAGTCCAGGGAGAGGGACATAGAGGCCCTGAGAAGCTCCCTGCAGACCATGGAGTCTGATGTCTACACCGAGGTCCGGGAGCTGGTGAGCCTCAAGCAGGAGCAGCAGGCGTTCAAGGAGGCCGCGGACTCGGAGCGCCTGGCCCTGCAGGCCCTCACCAAGAAGCTCCTGCAGTCCGAGGAGTCGACCTCCCGCCTCCCGGAGGAGATCCGGAGGCTGGAGGAGGAGCTCCGCCAGCTGAAGGCCGAGTCCCACAGGCCGGAGGCAGACGGGTCCTCCAGAACCCCCGACGCCTTAGATGCACTCCAGAAAGAGAGTCGGGGTCTGGACTCCAGGCTCCAGAACTTAGAGGATGAAGTCCAATCCGTGCAAGTGGCTTCTGCACGCCAGACCGATAGCCTGGAGTCGCTCCTGACCAAGAGCCAGGAGTACGAGCAGCGCCTGGCTGCGCTGCAGGAGCACCTGAAAGACCTGGGGTCCTCGTCCGAGGCAGACAAGGACAGCCTGGCTGGCACCGTGAGGAGCCTGGGGGAGGCCCAGCTGGCGCTCTACGGCGACGTGGAGGAGCTGAAGAGAAGCGTGGGCGAGCTCCCCAGCACCGTGGAATCGCTGCAGAAGGTGCAAGAGCAGGTGCACGCGCTGCTCAGTCAGGACCGAGCCCAGGCCGCGCGTCTGCCCCCTCAGGACTTCCTGGACAGACTCTCTTCTCTAGACAACCTGAAATCCTCAGTGAGCCAGGTGGAGTCGGACTTGAAAATGCTCAGGACTGCTGTGGACAGTTTGGTAGCCTACTCGGTCAAAATCGAAACCAACGAGAACAACTTGGAATCAGCCAAGGGTCTACTAGATGACCTGAGAAATGATCTGGATAGGTTGTTTGTGAAAGTTGAAAAGATTCACGAAAAAATCTAAGTGAATTGTGTGTCCAGGGCGCGGATTTATAGTCCATTTTCTCATGACCAAAAAAATGTGTTGTTTCCTCCCATGTGCCCTCCCCGCAAGTTTTGCCCCCCCCCCCCCCCCCCCCCCCCCCCCCCCCCCAGAGCAGTGGACACCACCTGAACACCAAGGCATTGCATTCTGTGCCCAGGTAATTTATTTGCAATTCTTACCACACACCATTGGTTTCTTAAGTTCTCTGCTTCTGCTTTTGGTTGTTTCCTGAAGGCCCAGCCCCGGTGCACAAGAGGTGGCTTTTAAAAGGGATGTGTCTAGTGTCAGAAAAATGACAGTGGCTTCAATTGAGGATTAACAGGAGCAGATTAACCTTCAAATACCCTGTCTGGCTGGCAGATTTCAAGTTACCAAAAAAAAAAAGGGTGGGGGTGGGGCACGTTTCTTTCTAATTGTCTTTAAGAAAAATTACTTTTTTTATACTTCTGGCTGAAGTTTTCATGAGATATCTCTTACTTGTCTTCCACCTAAAACTGGTTAGGACTCATAGATGTAATCTCTGAGTCAGGAGAGGGCAATGCCTTGTCTTCATTTTAAAAGAATCAGTTACTTGCGGGTTGCTTTTGTAGTGTGGGTGTCTTTTCCATTCCTGAACCATCTAATGATATCAAAGGTAACTATGCAAAGAATCAGATGGTTCTGAATGCTCAAGCACACCACCCAGAGTCCTGGTGCCTGTCTGTCTCTGGTGGCGCACCTGTATCCACACTTGGGCAGGTTACCGAATAATGCATAGGTTCAGAGTTCCAGAAAAGTGTCTTTGGGGTCTTTCAGGAAATGTGTTGAGAGCAGTCCACACAGCGGTGGGGTGTCTCCCTGGGGGAAGTAGGCCAGGTTTTTTTGTTTTAACAGGATGTCCTTGAGGAGGTCTGCTGTGGGAGCAGACCCCATCTGTCAGTGGGGAGCGTGTGCACTGCATTTCTGTAATTGTTTGCTGTACCCCTTCCCCTTTGAGCTGTATTGTTCTTAAATGGCTGTCTTGCCCTTCCAAAAGAAAAAAAAAGAAAGGAAAAAAAAAAAAAGCCGAAAAGTAAAAGTTAAAAAAAAAAAAAGGTTTGTTTAGTTTACTGTGAAATGAACTGTATGGCTTCTTTACAGTATTTTTAATTCTTAATAAACACTTGAGCTTTGTTATGAAAAAAAAAAAGAGTAAATGAATGTTCCTATGTACATATATGAACACACAACCAATGTGATTCCACATCATGTACAACCAGAAGAATGGGCAGTTATACTCCATGTATGTATAATATGTCAAAATACATTCTACTGTCATATATAACTAATAAGAACAAATAAAACAACAACCACAAAAAAGGAGTAATGAATGAATGAGCAAGTGAGTGAGAGAGGGAGTGACTGAGTGAGCAAGCCAGGGACCTTACCCGCGTCTTGATGTTCTTTGCCCTGTAGGCATAAAGCAGTGTGGTCCGCGACTCCTCGAAGCTGGTGCTTGCTGGGCTGATGTGGGCAATCATTACTGTGCGGCTGTTTCCTCCCAGGGCATCCTGCTTGGGTGGAAGCCACTGAGTTGGGGTGATGGGAGTCCCGTTCCCCTCTGGCCAGGGCAAAGCCTTCCCCCAGCCACCACCAGACCTGCCTGGACCAAATCCTGAAAAGGGCCAATGATGCTTGGGAATAAGGGGCTAGTGACTGCAGGATGAAGTGGGACCCATTCCAGGCCCACCTTGTCTTTTTTCCGCTCTGATGAGAGCAGATTAGACCAAGAAATGAAATTTATAGGGACATTTATTTACTGCTTTGCCTATGTGTTTATTGGTACCCTGCCTTGCTGTAGAATAAGGTGACAGCATTCAGATCAGTAAAAAGAGGTATCTTCTCACATCATAGCCATCTGGGATGGGACTAGCAGCCACAGGGAAGCAGTAGGCTCCTCGTCACCAGGGGTTTGCAAATAAAGCTGGACTTTGCTGGGGGCAGGGAGTGGATGGGGACAAGTGACCAGGGTAGTTTCATGGTGTTCTCCTGCCTTCAGAGGTTCCTGGAAGGACCCTGATTCTCAGGTGACTTAATTCCTGAGAGACACGGTCACCCACTGAGGCCCACACAGCCTAGCCAGCCAGGAGCACTCACCTTCAACAGACGCGTGAGTTTGCTATCGCGGAAGTTCACATACTGCGCCCGGCTGCCGCCCTTCTCACTGAGAGCGTTAATGCAGTTACCCAGTGCTAGCAGTGAGCGGTTGATGTGTGCGCCCTCCTTCATCCTCTTGCCCCGGTTCTGGGTCTGTGCAGGAAGAGGCCAGGCTGAGCAGGTGGCTCTGGGCCCATTCATTCTTTCCACCTCCACTTCTCCATCCCCAGGGAGGGGACAAAGGCCTGGAGGCAAGGGAGTGAAACAGCCCCCATCCTGCCCTGATCCTGGTGGGGTTGTTCTCTGAGAGCTCTTGGGGCTGGAAGACACCCTTGGCATCGTGCAGTGGAGTGGCACACAGCATTCCCAGTGATGCTGGGCTCTGACCCATGTGCAAAAGATGCTCATTGTTGGATGAGGTAAACACAGACACAGAGACGTCTGTCCAGAGAGACCCACTTTATATTAAAAATAGGTGTGTGGGGTTTTGCCTGGGAAGACCTGCTCCTACCCTGGCACTCTCTGGTCCTTCAGGCCCCCTCCTTTGAGGGCTCCCACCCGGCTCTCTGAGAGGAGACCACAGCCCCAGCCTTCCATACTTTCCAATGCCATCTTCTTTGTTTTCTTCAAATTACCAGCTCTCTTGGAAACCATTCACTTTTCATGTGTTCAGTGTCTTTCACCTGATATTCCACAGAATACAAGTTCCACAAAGGCACCCCCTGTCACTTGTTGGCCATGTGTCCCCAGAGCCCAGACATCTGCAGACCCCTAGACACAGCAGCATGCCAAATCAATGCATATGCAATAGCCCCACACACACACTCTTAAGTCCAAGCTGCCTCAAGAAAGGGACTCCAAAATACAGTCACTGCAGGGAGGGATTTTTATTTTCCTCCTTTTGCCTATCCATATTTTCCAAATTTCTTGCCCTTTATGTTTAAAATCAGAAAAAAAAAATTTACTATTGCTTTCTTTTTAAGGGCAGGATTTTGGAGTCAACTGCAAGCATGGTTTGAGAATGACTGAAACTACTTATTGCTGACAAATCTCCCTGTCTGTGTTCCTATTCGCTCAAAGGGGCAGTGATGGTGATAATTTCACAGAATAGTGTATGGAAAGGCCACATGGAGCAGGTACCCAAGAGAGCAACAAACATAGCTGTTGCTCTCACTAAGCAGAAGCCAGTGCAGGGTAGGACTTGGGCTGCCAGCATGGCCTAGAGCCAGGGCAGCCACTTGTATCACATGTCTGTGAAAGACCAGGGCATTTCTCAGACACCTTGTGCTGTCTTATGTGAGTGGTTTTCTTTGTAAGAGCAGAGCAGACCCCAGAGACAGTACATCAAGGCCACTGAGTAAACACTAAACACCAAAGCCAGAGAGGGACGGTGGCAAGCCCACAGGCACACACTAATATAGAGCAAAGTGAGGGCAGGGATCCAGGACATAGACCCTTTAACTGGTACCCTCTCCCAGAGCCACATTCTGGGAAGGCCAGTCTGGTCCCCACTTTGCCTTCTAAGAACACAGCTGCCATCCTAGCTGCTGCCCAGAGCTCAGGGCTCTCCTCCACTGCATTCAGCATTGTGTGTGATCTGTCTGTACTAACCATGCCTTCTATTTTCTGCATTCTGATGCTTCAACATCTGGGGCCTTGTTGACCCTGGCGGGGACCATCCTCCCAGGGTTAGTCAATTCCTAAAGCCAGTAAACTACTCACCTGAGAATTCATTTTTCACTTGCAAACTCACCAATCCATAGCTCATACCCCAACCACCACTGCTGTTGGCCCTCATTCTCTGGGCCACCATCCCCCTACCCTAGTCATCCAGGGCCAGGTACAGACAACTAGGGATGCCCCCACCCAGGTCCCAGAGCACCCTGGCATTGTTCAGACTGGCCAACCCTCTGCCTGCCTGTCCTGATTCTGCTCACCTGTTCCTTCCTGGGGAACCACATCAAAGTCTCTGCTACAGTCCTGCTCCCACTCCCTCCTGAACCACCCAGTGCTTCCCTTTGTTCTCTGTCTGCTTCTCTTGGGAACCCTGACAAGCTTGGAATGGCAGTCATTCCTTGATCTGCTGGCCCCACTGTGCCTTACAATTTCTGTTAATACATTTTAAAAGAGTCTGACAGGGCCAGGCCCTGCTTTGCTTTAGCAACCTGGGGACCCAGGGAAGGGGTAGATATAGGGCAGTGATAGATCGCCATCCCAACATCCAGGGCATACAGTGCAAACCAAAGTGAGAAAGGAAGTGTCAAAGCAAGAATGGCATGGTTCGGGCCAGACTCTCCCAGGTTCAAAGCTTGGGTAACTTCTCATCACCTTTGTTCATGTCCAGGTCACATTGACTCCAGCCACAGCTCCACATTATGGCACAGGCACAATGCTGCCCACCTCAGTCCACATCAGGAGGGGCACATGGACTATGAACCTTAAGTGCCTGGTTAATTAGAGGGACATGGAGTGTCACTTGCTGATGACAATGATGCCCCACACAGCTCCATGAGCTCCTTCTCTGGCCTGGCCCTAGGCTAGAGCCTGCCCTTAAGCAATGCTCAGGCCACTGGACAAGAGCTAAGGAGCCTAGTGCCCTCACTTAGACAGGAGGAGCAAGGAAAAAGGAGCCTGGAACTTGGGGAGGGCACTGGGCTAGTGCCCTGCAGTGCCTGGAGCAGGACCTGTAGCCTCTTACACAAGTCACATATACTGTCCCCTCAGAGCCTCTCTGCCCCCACTGTTCCCTCTGCTGAAATGCTCTTCCTTGTACCTCACCCAGCTCCTCAGGACCTTTTTAGGCTCAGCCCTGAGACTCCATCACCTCTGGCTCCCACAGCCTCTTTGAGGACCCTGACTCTCAAAGACCTGCCTCCCTGGATGAAATTGCCCACAAGCAAATCCCAAGAGCTCCAAGTTCTCCAAGGGCAAGCACATGTGTGGCTCATGCCCCCGAAGAGCCTGCGGCAAAGGAAGCCCCTGTATCTCTGGGCTCATTTCCCTCAACATTTAGCATGTGCTTCTTCTCCATCAGAAAGATGAACTGGGCACTGGAGACATAGCTAGTCAGGGACAGCAAGGTTCCACCAGAAACTGGAAGGGGACAAGACACTAAGGAAGTGATCATAATGACATTTGAAAGGGTGGGCATGGACCTGGCATGCCCTTTCTGAGCCCGCCAGGTCCACCATGAAGAGCCTCCCAAGGCGCGCTTCCTCTGCCAGGTCTGTGCTGCGGCTCTGCTGGTGCACAGTGACCTGCAACACAGCGTGGGAGCGGGATGACGTCTTGTTGGTGGCTGTGGGTTCCTGCGTGCGCTGCCGATTTCCTCTGGTGAGGAGCTGCATGATCTGAGGACAGAAGCAGGCAGGCGGTCAAGGACTGTCTGCATAGCCACACACCATTTCTAGAAACACCCAGAAAAGAGAAAAAGGATGGCCTCAGGGCTGGGATGCTTACAGCAGGAAGGCAGCATCTCACCTGTGGGAGCAATTCTGGTCAACTAGTTAACAGGAGATGGCAGAATCCTGGCTCTGGCCACTGCCCATCCTGTCCTCTACCCCACCAGTGGACTACCTATCCCTTCTTCACACAGTCCAGCACAGCTCCACAACACTTTGTAGCATGGAACTCCAGGCAACAGTACAGATTTGCTGGAGTTGGCAGGTGTGCTAAAAACCCATCTGCTATGCTATGGAACTCAAGGCAGTAACCTCAGCTGAGCACCCTGATCATGGTGCCCAGGGAGGATCAGCAGAGGCAGCAGATGGAGAGAGAGGATGGGGCTGGAGAAGTACTTGCAACCTGCCTTCATTAAGGGAGTCACCATTAGGGTCAGAATGGCAAATGGATTTGGACTTAAGCGAATTCTGATGCTGTGATTGCTGGGGCACCGTGTTGAGGTCAGCACCAGAGGCCAAGGAAAGTATGTGGGATCCATCAGTAATGTCTGCCCTGAGCACCTCAGCAGGTGGATGTTTGCCAGGAGAGGATGGTGGGCTCTGGTGTGTGGCTGCCGTCGTCCTCACCTCTTGGGCATTGGAGGTGGAGACCTCTGTGATTCCTGCAATCTGGATGCTGCCCTTAGAATCTTCCCTCAAGTCCAGAAACCCTGAGGATGGGTTCAGAAGGTCCCGGATCACTTCATTATAAATCTGGGAGAAGAGAAAGTTTGAAACAAAGTAGCTTTGGTGCAAAGAACTATAAAGACCTACACACCATGGAGGCTTGAACTGCAGAAAACATCAACCCCAAGGACCAAGGCTTTTTATAGGCCAACCAGCATTTGGGGCAACACACAGAACTGGGGATTTCACACATACAGCTGTTTAATCTGGTGCCATCATGTCCATGGGGTAATGGAGATGGGGTAACGGGGACAGGTGGGCAGGCCCACCTCAAGATAAGATATAGACACGCTATAGTCCATGTTGTCCCGGGTCTTCTCGATGGCCTGGAAGAGGTCAGTGAGGGTCTGCAGGTAGATGCCAGGCTCCGCATCCATGCCCAGCATGGTATGGGTCTTCCCTGCACCTGAGGAGGGGTGGGAATTCCTGAGTGGGCTCAGACATGTTTTGTTTCTAATATTTTTTTTAGTTGTTGATAGACCTTTATTTATTTATTTTTAAATTTATATGCAGTGCTGAGAATCAAACCCATAACCTCACACATGCTAGTCAAGCACTCTGCCACTGAGCCACAACCCCAGGCCTAACATGTTGTTTTATTTTTATTTTATTTTTTTAAACTATATTATTTATTTATTTATTCTTTGTATGTGGTGCTGAGGATCGAACCCAGGGCCTTGCACGTGCGAGGCGAGCGCTCTACCACTGAGCCACAACCCCAGCCCCTGATACGTTGTTTTATAATAAAGACAATTAATATTGCATTAGGTAAGGAGGTGCCTCCATCTCAGGGATGCTTCAATGTCTCCCTCATCTCTGCACATAAAGGTGAGGAAAAGATTGTTCTTTTCCTTCTAAAGCCTGGCACATGGTAGGGCTTGTTATGCATATTGAATGAATGAATGGAATAGATGCACACAGCATGACTTTGACCAAGGTGCTTCTTAGGACCTGTCTCCTTGTCTAAACAGTGGTAGGTCAGGGCCTGCCCAGCTCTAATCCTCTGTGGTTCTAGTTTCTAGGCATGAGAGGTAACTTAGCTTTGCAAATGCTTGTTGAACACAACTTGTAACTACAGAAAGTCTATGGGTTCTTGTGGGCAGAAAAGTGTAGGCTTGGGTGCAATTCCAGAATCCCCCCTGGTGACTGAATGACCTTGGGGAAGTTCCCCAAGCCCCCCTAAGCAGCATCTCATCTGTGGAAAAGGAATAAAAGAATATTCTACCCACCCCTAGAGCTTCTGAAAGGCTGCAGGGTGCCCCCACACAGGGTCTGATGCTGTTAAGAGGGCCCACTGCCACCAGCCCTGCTTGGTACCTGAGGGGCCGTAGGCAAACACTGTTGCGTTGTATCCAGAAATGACGCCTTCCACTAAATGCTGGATGGTGGCACAGTACACGTCTTCCTGAAGACAGAAGATTAGTCAAAGGACAGTCCAGCCCAAGTCTGACCATCTGACTGCTTGGCGAGGACAGAACCTACAAATGTCTGCTCTCTCTGAACGTGCACAGGAACACACAGGAGGGAGAAGCCTGGTGTTGGTACTAACCCCAGGCTGTCGCTGGGTAGTTTTTGGCCACTGCCTCCACCATGCCAAGCCTCATGGTGTGAGACAGTGCTGACCTCACAGCCTGGTTCTGAACGAGGATTAAATGAGAAGGTAGCAGGGACCTGCCACCAGAAGGACTAATGCATGAAGCTACCAAACACAGGCGAGTCTTTCCCAGGGCTTCTGAGAGAATGGAAAGGAGCAGAAAAGAAACAAAGGACTAGGAGGGACAGACTTGGAAGTATGTGAAGAGTATTTGACCATCTTTACAAGCATAAACTGGGATGGTGGGCAGGTAGAACATGATACAAGGCAGCAGTGCCAAGCAACAGGATTGTATGGGTGGTGAACACGCTGTCCACAGGGGAGTCCAAGGAGAGACACTCCAGGGCTGGTGTGTTTTGCAGGTCCCACTGGCCTGACAGAAACAGCAGACACCCCTTATATTGTACCTCCTGGCTGCCCACTCTGGACCTTGTTCTCCACTCATGATACGACCTATAGCCTGGGCTGGAAGACCCCAAAGTTGGCAGTGCCTCCCTCTAGCTTCAAATGTACAATCAGAATCTGGGGTCTGCAGCCCTCTGTGTGACCTTAGGCAGGTGGCTAACTTCCAGAGATCTGTTTCCTCATCTGCAGAATGAGGGTGTGTTCCTGTATGTGTCACAGGGTTGCTGTGAGGTTTGTCAAATGAGGTTTACTGGGGCCTGGAACACAGACATGGCACAGAGCAGCCACTTGATGCCCGTCAATGAGCAGTTCCTTCTACCCTCGAGGCCATGAAGACTCTGAGAATGAGGAAATACAGCCTGCTCAGACAGCCATGGGGGCTCTGCTCTGCTTCCCAATTAAGTCCTGAACCGAGGGGGACATTCCTAGTACCAGCAGGTGGCCACTGTGTTTCCAGCAGGCCCTCTGGTGAGCTCTGCAATCCTTGCTGAGATGCCACCCATGGGAATTGGCCTCTGGGGTCCAATGGGCAGACAGCGTAGGTCAGAAAGAGTGGTAGGCTGAAGATGGCCACAAACTCCACCAGTTCTCCACTGAGGTGTGGAGTCCAATTCCTGTACCCCAGAAGGTGACCAGCCTTTAGGACTGGCTCTCTCTGTCATACTCTGAGCCCTGGCTCCCTCTATAATGTAGAGTATCCAGGTCCCACTCAGAAGGGAGGGGCAGATGACACATTGGACAGTGTTTTGTCCCTTAACTGGTGGTAGTGTTGTGAAGGTGAAGGAGTGTGTCTTCACACCAGACCCAAATGCCCAGCTCTGGGCCTCACTATGTAGCTTTACAAAGCCGCAGGCACCCCACCTGTGCAGTGGGCATGACAGAGCTTCCACCAGGACCCCCCTTCTGTTCCATGCTGGCTCATTCCTCCCTCAGGTCTCAGCATAAATGTCTCTCCTCAGAAAGGCCCTCACTGCCCACTCCTGCCTGGCCTGGTACAGCCGATGTCACAAATAAGCGTATTCTCCCCTTGCCCTCATCTGCCTCTTCTGCTGGGATATGTGCCACATGGGGCAGGGACTGTACTTTAACCAGGGGCAGGACAGAGCCCGCCTTGTGGAATGAAGTGGTGAGTGAATGAACTAAAGAGAAGCCTCCTGGCAGTGCCAGCACCTGGTGGCCCCTGTGTCCATGGAAGGGCCTCCTACTCTTGAACCTTGGGTGGGTATTTTGGCCACACCCTCCTTGTTCCTGAGGGAGACCTGGGGAGAAGACCCATGAGATGGCCTGGCCACCAGTCCCTCCCAAAAGGCCCTGCAGCCCAATGTGGACAGGGAGAGGGCAGATGAGTGGGCACCTGTGATGCGTGCTGGTCGAAAACAGTGTCGAAAATGAAGGTGCGCTCCCGTGACCGGTGTGCACGCAGAGGGTCCTCAGGATCCTCATTGGGGTCCATAAGCACAACCACCTGGGAACAACGAGACAGGTGGAGGGCTGGTCAGAACACCAGAAGGGCTCCAGCTCAGGCACCCACCTGGATGAGGTCTGGATTCGAGAAGGGCTTACGTCTTTTGTGCTCAAGTTGGTGGTGTGGTGAGTAACCACCCCCCCACCATAGCACCTCCCCACTCACTTTCTGAGGGGGTGATGTCTCTTGCTATTGAACCACCAAAGCATGACTGTCAGCAACTCCAGGTCTGCTGAGCTCTGCAGCCACATTCACATTCATCCCAGAGATGTCCCTCCAACCTCAGCCTGAGGAGGGCAACCCAGTCACGCTTGGTACAGCCCAGCTCAGCACAACAGGCCAGCATTCTCAGTGCGCATCCTGGGCCAAGGCCTGTGTGACAAACCCTTCTATGAACTATGAGGACAAAAGGGAACAAGGGATTTTGTAAACCGTAGGGTGCTGGGCTGGCCACCTCACACCGTAGTCACCCCATGGTGTTTGAGTATTTTCATTCCTTCTCAGCTCTTGCCTCTGGTTGGGGCCAGGTGTGGGAGGGGAAGCCAGAGAAAGGAAAGAGAACAAAAGGACCATCCAAACCCTCCATCCATAGCTTTGTTTCTGAGAGCCTGGTCGCCCCCAACCTCCACCAGGTGTCTCTGACTTCACACACCTCACATAAAGACCTCAAATAAATACGCAATTAAGAAGCAAAGGGTATTAGGCTCTCTGGGGACAGAGAGGTTCAAAGGAGCCTTTCCCAGGGAATTGGGAGGTGGGGAAGACAGTGGCAATTAGAAGCCAAACACATCCTGGCTGGTGGGGACCTGAGAGGAACCGTGGAGTTGGGGGACACTGCTGGGCAACACCAAGAGCCCCACCATCTGGCCACAGCCCGACCCTTCCATCTGTTCACAGCTTTGGAAATAGAGGTCCTGGGAGGCAAGGGCCTACTAGAGGTTGTTGGGGATTTGGTGGCAGGGCTGGGTCCAGGTCTCCAGGCCTGCTCTTGGCTTCTGGCCAGCACTTGTTCCATAATGTAAGCCAACCCTCTTTCCTGTGTCTTACTTCTCCTTCCAAGGATTGCAGGAACAGACCCACTGCAGGCTCGGCTTGTGTTGCAGGAGAAATCAGACGAATCTCTGTTAGGAGCTCCTAACCCAGCAGAGCCAGGAAGGGGGTAAATGCTCTGGAGGCCTGGGGTTGTGGCTCAGTGGTAGAGAACTTGCCTAGCACATGTGAGGTGCTGGGGTTGATCCTCAGCACCACATGTAAATAAATAAAATAAAGGTTCATCAACAACTACAAAAAAAAATGATAATAATAAAGTGTGCTCTGGAGCCCTGTAGCCTGGATTCCTATTTCTTACCAGCGGGGAGACCTCGGATCCTTTGCCTCAACTTTCCAGGCCTCAGTTTTTTCCTCTGTAACATGGCTGTGATCATAGAACCCACCTGTTAAGAGCTGTGAGGGGTGATGGTGGGAAATCACTGAGTCCTGGGTGTTCAAAAATATCAGCTAGGGTTATGGCTCAATGGTAGAGCACTTGCCTGGCACATGTGAGGCATTGAGTATGATCCTCAGCACCATATAAAAACAAATAAAGAAAATAAAGGTTAAAAAAAAGAGTAACTGAGAATCCTGTTAACTTTAAAATATTATATATATCAGCGGCATGACTCTTGGACCAAAAAAATATTTTCTTTCATCATAAAGAACATTATTGAGAAAAATCAGCAAAATATGAGTGTCTATAGATTAGATAATATTAGATCAACATGTACTTCCTGGTTTCGGTCACTGCCCTGAGGTCAGTTACAAGAATGTTCTTGTTTTCAAGAGACGTATGCCAAAATGTTTGAGTGGGGAGAGCCCTAATGCCCACCACTTACTCCAAGCACTCCAGAAAAAAGGTCTGTACCACAGGGAAGTAGGAGAGCAGGCAAACATGGATAGATGTTAACATTTGGAAAATCTAGACACAGGGAATGTGGGAGCCCTATAGGGCTCCTGCAACTTTTCAATGGTCTGAAGTTACTTCACCATAAAAAGTTAAAATAAGGGCTGGGGTTGTGGCTCAGTGGTAGAGTGCTCGCCTAGCATGTGTGAGGCCCTGAGTTTGATCCTCAGCACCATATAAAAATAAATAAATAAAATAAAGATTAAAATAAAAAGTTAAAATAAAACATGCCAGGTGTGGGTGATGCACACCTGTAATCCCAGTGGCTCAGGAGGCTGAGGCAGGAAGATTGTCAAATTCAAGGCCAGCCTTAGCACCTTAGGGAAGCTCTAAGTAACTCTGGAGATCCTGTCTCAAAAAATACACAGGAGGGGTAGGGATATAGCTCAATTGGTAGAGTGCTTGTCTTGCATGCATAAGGCCCCGAGTTCAATCCCCAGCACCACAAAAAAATATAAAAATGAAAACGGATGTGGATGTGGCTCAGTGGTTAAGCATCCCTGGGTTCAATTCCTGATTTTTTATATATATATATATACACACACACACATATATATACACACATATATATATACACACGTATACATACACACATATATACATACATACACACACATACACACGTTGCAACATAGACGACCCTCATATACCTCAGGCTAGATGGAAGAAGCAATGGGCTGCATCTCCAAGATTGCATTTAAATAAAATAGAGACAGAAAGTGGACTGGTGGCTTCCAGTGGCAGGAAGAGGGGGAAGAGGAATGGGGCCTTCTTTTGGGGTGAGGAAACCATTCTGTCACTGGATAGAGATGCTGGTAACACAGCCCTGAGGATGAATTAAACACCCTGGATGGCGTGCTTTGAATTGGTGAAATGTATGTGATGTGAACTCAGTTCTCAGAGTGAGTCATCTACAGTGCACAGCGAGATGCTACGAGCCTGTGTGAAGCACAGGCCCTGCGCCTAACATGTCCACTGTTCTCACTGATCTTGGGTCTACACCACCACATCTGCCCATGAGCATGCTGGGGGTGGCATCTCTGTCAGTTCTCTACCACTTCCTGACTTACTGCTATCAGGTGACAGTTGCACCTCTGACTGCACTATGCTGTTACCTCATGAGTTTCAGTAGAGTAACACTCAGTGTTCCCACATCCATTGTAGCAAATCCACATCCTTTCCTGCAAAACTTTTGACTCTCTCAATGTAACAGCAGTCTTGTGTTTTTAGCTTAGTTTTCTGCAACTTCAGTGCTGACTCACCCCAATCTCTTTGCCTGCCATTCACCCTACAGATGTTCTGTCCAATTGTCTTCTTCCTGACCTGCCAAATCAGGATAGGTACCCCCACCCCAGGGGACAGCTGTCAACAGGGAATGCCCACCACCAAGATCTGGGTCCTTCGGACTTCAGCATAAACCCCCTCTCCAGAGCCATTTCATTCTTCATGGAAGACACCTTCCTAATGACAAATGAAAAAACCCACCCACTTTCCAATGACATACCCCAAATTTGGCATTTGTTCTTGCAGGTGGAAATCAAGGGCAAAAGCTTTGCTAACCATGTGGTTAACTTGGCTCTGAGTCTGTCTCTAAGGAGAAATCCCTAGCAATGGCAGTGAGCCGGCAGTGAAGGAGAATCTCTTGGGAGTCTGACTGCAGATCTAGACCTGGGCCTACTAAAACTGCTCTCCCAGCCTCTTCTGCTCACTCCGGCTGCTTCTCAAATAGGCCACACCTGGCTGCTTCAGGACTCCAGCCTGCTGCCCACTCTGCCTAGTTTTTCCTGCCTCCCTGCTCCAGTGTCTCACCAGAGGTCTTTACCACAGCCGTTTGGATGAAATTCCCAACATTATACACAATATTAATAAAAACAAACTTGGCGGGACCCTTGTCAGCCTCCACTTGACCCGTGGGTGGGAGCTACTATATAAGCATTTGTTGAGAGAATGAGTTACACAGGTAAATGTGCATGGCTGGGTGAGCTTCACAGCTACCCTGTGCCTCTGTGCCTCCCAACCTCACCTGGTCCCCCACTTTGTGGGCAATGACGGTGGCTCCTTCCTCCAACTCTGCTGCATTGAGTGGACGGATTCAAAGCGCCACCTGTGGGTAGGACAGGAGCAGTACGTTCACGAGTCCCTCTAAGATTGCTCCTTCTTCCTCAAACAGCAAGTTGCCCAGCCCAAACTCCCTCCTGTCCTTCTTTGATGTCCCATACAAACTCAGTGAAGCAGAAGGAGCCTTCCGGAGTCATTTTTTTCCCTTCTATTTTGTTTTTTGTGCTGCTGGTGATGGAACCCAGGCCTCATGCAAGCAAAGCAAGGGCTCCACTACTGAGCCTTCCCCGAGCCCCTGCCTAACTTAACACTGGCATGAAATTATTTATGTCTTGCAGCAACCCTTTGAGGAATACATGGTTATGTCACCCTTGTGGAACAGAAGAAGGTACTGAGGCACATAGAGAGGGAAGTATTTGCCTAAGGTCACATAGCTATGGAGTGTGACCAGGCCCAAAGTGAGCACACAGAAGAACCTACATCCGGGCTGGGC